TTTTGCAACCTACCCCTACTCTGAGTTTGTAAAGTTTCTTCTTTGATTATCTGCAGTTGAGCACCGAGGGTCCACATTGCTTTCTTCATCACCTTGGGTACCCCGTGGGATTGAATAGTCCATTTTTTTTTGTGTTTTTGATTTATGTTAATATTTTTTTTTAAATCCTTAGGAAACTGTTCAATTTGGGATCTGACCGATCCTTCCCACTTGCCTGCTTCCTACCTATTCCTCCCCATCCAGTCCGGGTACTGCTGTTTGGCACACGGGTGACTCTTTGGAGTTTGGGCACGACAGTGCATGCCACTGCTCACTCGATCACTGACCAAAGGCATGGACCAGAAGGCGGAAGAATCCCTCCTGGCCTATGAGGAACGCCTGGCTGCGTTTATCCAGGAGGCCAACGATAGGGCCGCCGCAGCGGCCAAGGAACGAAACCGGATTGCAAAAGAGGAGGAGACCAAGCGACAGCAGGAGGAACAGGACCGACTTCGTCAAGAGGAGGCAGACTTGTAGGCTGCAGTTGAACACCGGTCACGCCAACGGGAACGACTGTTCACGCGGGAGACCGCGATCGGTGATGAAACCGCACAATGGGTGGAGATGGCACCTGCGGACGAGGCCTGCAGCAGGAGGAAATTCTTCGCCTGCAGCAGACAGTGGACCAGATGCTTGTACGGTTGCAGGCGTTCGTGAAACAGCCAGTCGCCGCAGCAGCCGCAGGGCCTTCCAAACTTGCCACACGTGTTCAAGTTTTGGAGGATGACATCAGCAACATCAAGCGTGTACATCAGGATTTCCGGACCTCACAACAAGCAACGAACTTGCAGTTGGAAACGCAAGTCCAAGCTGCTGCTACCGTGACGCCCGCGACTGCATCCTCCCGGCGCCCACCCAAACTGGATGACATTCTAGTTTTCTACGATCAGTCCAAAACGGAACCGATCCCATAGTGGCGCTAGTTCAAGCTCAGGCTCGACATGCACCATGTCCTGAACAACGATCGACATGCGTGCTTGTACCACCGATCTGGTGGTGCATGTCAAGCATGGCTGGACAACATATTGACCAGCCACGACGTAGCAGTGTCGGAACTACACACCAAGCTCACTTGGCAGGAACTGACTGACGCCTGACACAAGCGATTCCAAGTGGAGCCGCCCGACCTGCAAGCGATGGAGAAGGTCAACAAGCTCCATCAGAACACGCTCCTCAGTCAGGACTGGATTACCGAGTTTCAAAGACTCGCCTCCACACCCGACCTGCCGTTCGCATTCTGCGGCGTCAAACACTTGTTTATCATGCGCTCGTGTCCAGCCCTGCAAAACGCGCTGATGCAGATTGCAGAGACACTCGACACGTCGGACAAGCTTTTTAGCACAACGTCACGGATCATTCTCACGAATGTAGAAGCCCGCAACACCGACCGATCTTCCTCGACGTCGAGCAACAACCAGCTCAAGCCAAAGGTGGCTTGCATTACAGCGACTTCGCCAACTTCTTCTACCGAGGCTGCAACACCAAACGAGGGTGAAGTGTCGGCAGCTGCCCGGGATGGTGGCCGGCCGCGCAACAATCACGGCCGCGACAAGACGAAGACTCAGTCCACCTCTTCACCGGGCACCGGATCAGCCACCGATAAACCTTGGGCCCAATAAGGACTCTCGGCGAATTGCTATCGCACGAGACTCAAGTACCGTTATTGTCTTTGGTGCAACAGCACCATCCACGATGCTGCACATTGCCCCACCAAGGGGAAACCCCGTTCGGGAAAGTAGTCGCCGTCGAGGGTGACTCGACACCTCCCTTGACGCCATCGGAAGCGGTTGTGCGCACGACCGCCCTTTCTTCCGATGCATATGCGGATGTCGGGAGTCTTCCACTTTCGTTCGAAGACTTTGCTGCCTGGCTCGTTCCTTCGCTGGACGCTTCTCAAGGACAAGATACATGTGCGACTTTCTCACTGTTTGGAGGTTATTCCGCCACTTCGTCTTCATCAAGGGATTCGGCAAGTGTGTTCAACGAGGAGGCTTTGGAACCGCATCACGCCAGAGGATTTCGCTCGGGTTCCTCTCCCTACGACGGGCAACCTTCCGGGGCCGCAAAGCGCAGCACTATGCCCCCTCTTACACGAGTACCTTTCCTTCCATGCACCACCAACTTCGCTGACGGTAGACGAAGTCGCGGTGGGGGACATGCTTGACTATGTTGCCAAGGTTGCCCACGAGTTCGTCTCGCAACGGTACGAAGAAAACAACGCACCGTTGCTCTACGTCCGCATTCAAATTGGGCAAGCGGCCTGCAATGCTTTGCTGGATTGCGGCGCAACTCGCAACTTCATCAACCAGTCCTTCATGACTCAGGCTGGCCTTGGGGTACAGGTACGGAGGAAGTCACATCCGACGACGGTCGCTCTTGCCGACGGTAAGACGAAACAACTCTTAGAACGTTATATCTCAAGTGTCCCGGTGTACATTGCACTGCACGCATGTGAACCCGTCACTTTTGACGTGTTGGACACCGACTTTGATGTCATTTTGGGGATGCCTTGGCTTTCTAGCGTGGACCAAATGGTCAATTTCCATCGACGCACGCTCACGATTCGTGATGCCACTGGCGCTGAGGTCCCGTGTACTATTCCTCCTCCTCGCTCTTCCATTCGGTGCCAAGTCGTGAGTGCCAAATCTTTTCGAGACACATGCCGTTTCGAGCATGTCTAAGAGATTGGCATTGCTTTTCTTCGAACCGTCCCGATGACTGACTCATCATCCACGGATTTATCTTACCCGTGTGACCCGGTTGTTA